GCTCAGAAATACAAGGACCGGTGTTCGAGACTAGGAGTGGCAGAATAGTCGAGTGGGATGAGTGGGTGATCATCTTAGAGGACCAGACATTCTCCAAAAAGGGTGAGTGCACATCATTTTTATCCCCAGAATGTGTATTTGGTAAGGGAGTGTCTTTTCCCCATTTCACCTTTTTTTTTTTTTTTTTCTCTTATTTCGCTATTGTATTCAGAGATAAGGGAAGGCATTGTGGAATGTGTGTGGTAAGTTATTTGATGTGATATCTACTGGGATTATTTGCTTCTAAGCTGATAAGGAATCTCGGAGATATCTCATTCTGTCTTATCAGGGGGGGAGGGGGATTCTTTTGTTTTGATTGCATGTATAGAGATTGGTGGGGTTTTTGTGTCAAGTGTAGTTATTTGTTGATAGGTTTTAGTGAATTTTGAATGCGAACTAAGATATATTAGATAAGTCAAGAGGAAAGATGTAATTCATATTCATTTACCTGATTATTGATTTCTGAATGACCTTTCTACGATACATTGTACTCTTACATATGCTATAGTCTCTGTGTACACCTCCCACATACCAGCAAGAAACCCAGTCTCCCTCGACATGGCACAACGTGTAGCAATATCACGGGGAATGGCAGCCTCGCGAGATGGATCTCCTGCAGCTTCGCGATGCAATTCTCGCTTCACCACGCCCAAGAATTCACAGCCTCCCTCAAGATATGCATCAAAGGAACTGATTTCGTCAGGCAACTTAGGCAGCAGGATCAGCAATGGGCATGAGGAGGTAGTGGCGCAACATCCATTAGACAACCAGGTGTCAATTGCAGATCCTGGGATGATGAATGGCAATAGGAGCAGCAATTTGCTTTCTCCAGTTCCAGGTGGACAGTAAGTAAAAAAAAAAAGAAAAGAAAAGGAAATATTTACATAACATTTCATGTGAATAGTGTATGCAGTAGCCTATATTATAGGATTGTATTAGGAGATATTTAGGTGCAAAGATTATAGGGAGTGTAAGTTATACTTAGTTTTTCTTCCAGTAGATATTGATTTTAGGAAGTAAGTCTTTACTGAAACACTATAAAGAATCTTGATGTAACATTTACATATTTGTATAAGTTTAAAGTTAATTTCATGTTTGTTTCAGGCATAACAGAGGATGGTACAGCTCTAATAGTAACTTAACCTCATCAGATTCTACACCTAGTTCTGATCAAAACACAGACCCAGGTTTGTACAGAAAGGATACTTTATTCAGATGATATTTTAGGTGCTGAATGATATCACACACACTTTTAGGCAAAGGGATCAATAAGTAGAGTGTAGATTTATGCACTTTAAAGAAGTTTCTGGTCATGAAAGAGGCTGTCTTTGATATACTTATCAATAAGTCTGACTTTGATATACTTTAATATTACTGATTAAATCTGTTATCTATAGGTCAGGGCATGGATTCTTCCCCAGTAGCAGGGCCTCTAGATGCACTTGGATTCTCAGAAGATGAAGACAACAGGAACACGTGCTTGTATCGCATGCCGATTGTTGGTTACGAGGTCCTTGAAGAACGGTCTAGATTTACGGTAAAGTTCTAAGTATTTATTTATTTGTTGTATTAAAAGATTTGCCAATTTTTATTAAGTCGACTTTGATTAAGCTTTCTTTTTTATTACATATTGAGGTTATGCAGTGTAAATTTGATAAATACTTCAGATATGGTTGACCAAGAAGCTCTAATATGGAAGTTGGTAAAACTAAATTTGCATTTTGTTCATAGGTGTTTAAGATACAAGTCCTTCATCAGCCAACCGGTGACCAGTGGTTTGTCTTCCGGCGGTATACAGACTTTGTGCGTCTGAATAAGAAGGTATGACATCCTTACTTATGATATTATATTTAAAAACTGGTATATAATGCCCAGTCATTTTTATTGTTGTTGTTATTGACTCATATTTCATAATTCCTGTTCTTCTACAAACACTTGCATACTTTTTTACATTTTAGCTGAAGTTGGAGTTCCCAGGTCTGCGATTTTCACTCCCCCCTAAGAAATGGTTTGGTGATAACTTCGACCCAATATTCTTGGAAGATAGGCAGTTGGGCTTACAAGCTTTTATTGACAATATAATTGGTAAGGCTTTTTTCTGTACTGATTTAATGTATCTGTATAAAGCCTTGGAAGTTATTATTTGTGTTTGGTTAATATTGTTACAGGTTTATGTATTGATGCTATTTATCATTGTCATTGTCATTTCTTGTTACAGGGCATGCTAGAATCCGGGAGAAGAAGTGCGTTCGTGACTTCTTTTGCCTTGATGATCCCCCAGGTGCTCATGACACTTTAGAGGAGAGTCGGGTAAGGTTTCTGCTTCAGTGTCGTGAAATGGAATGGTAATAAGATATGCAGGATAATTGCTAATTAATATTGATATAAAGGAGAAGAAGAAGAAGAGAAAAAATAGGAGCATTGTATTGGCATAAGTTACATGACATTTTGTTGAACTTGC